CAGGGTCACCCTCTCTCCCCCTCTCCCGGCCCCTTCTGGCCCTCGGCGTCCTGTACACCACCCCTGTCATGCTAATGAAGTCGTCCAAAGACAAATTTCGATGCAAAATCACGTGACAGAGGAAGAAGTGGAGTTGCGGGACCTGAAGTCTAAGAAGAACGAGCCCGGTCACTGAAGAGAGCCTTGCACATTTCTAGCTACTGCACAAACGACAAGAAGCGACGACAAGGGCATTCCATGCAAGAAAACAGCACTGTCAGAGTAACCGGCAGAGCTATGGATTGATGGTATGACAGACCAAGAGAGCGAGGTGAGGTCACCGGTTCAAGGCCGGTTTGCTCTTTGAAAAGGATACGCCAATCACAGCAGGAAGAGATGGAGTCAGGGGAAGCGTCCAGTCCCAAACGTTTAGACCGATCTTCAGGCACATGGCTTCTGACAAAGTCTGGCCAAACATATCTTCCACAGGCGCCAGAATGTGTTCCTTAGAATTTGTTTCAGAAATCTCTGGAGACATTAGCTCGGAAAATGCTCCCCTCATTTCCTCAACAGTTGCAATCTGCAACGAGTACAACCAAAGACGCGGTGCTTTAGGATCCACAAAACACAGATTCACAGAACAGGCTGATATTAAGATCGTGCACAGCGAGCACATACAGCAAGTTAGGGATGGATTTCACTTGTGGCATGCACTGGAACTGGACTCCAATTCCCGATCCGATTCGAACAGTGGCAGAAGTCCCCACAACCCCCCACATCCGTACAACTTCAAGATTGCACTTGTGGCAGCCGACAGTGAACAACAAAGGGACCTACCTTTTAACTAACAAAAGGCACAGGTACGTGCAAAAATGCGGTGACGCCCTTCAAAACAAAAAGAAGGCGAAACAAGGATTGGAAACGAGAGAATCAGAAAGACCATTTCTCGATTTATGCATGTCATCCTTGCACAGGGGCCATGCTAATCTCCTCTGTATTTTGTTACTATTGTAAATGATGCCCCAAAGGGAAAAACAACAAGACAGCATCTTTTAATCTTGAAAAGAATGCTTTATAATGACAGATTCTTTCGGATTGGAATTGTGGAATTTCTTCTTCATTTCCGCCTTTTTTTCTTATCATTTTGTGCTTTAACTGCTACACCGGCTACAGCCAGGTTTCTACTGCTGTGCTGGGGTCTTGCTTCTTTTTTTTCTTTTTTCTTTTTTTTTTATGCGTGTCATGCTAATCTTCTCCATATCTTTCCAATTCTAACGGATCTCCCAAAGAACATGCTGCGGTCTTCCTGAATAACTCTCTTTTTTTTTTTTTTTTTTGGTGGGGGTTGGGGGTTGGGGGGGCGGGGCGGGGGGGGGAAGGCGGATGTGGGGGACATGAGGGACAAGGGGGAAGTGGGATGTGGGGAATGGAGGTAGGAACTGAAAAACTAGATTGTGGATCAGACATGTAACTGATCAAAACAGTTAAAATTTCACTTCATCTTCGCTAAGCAATCGAAAAAGCCATTACTCGCAGAAAACTTGTTCAACTTTTCCAACCCTTATCCATCATGCAGACAACAAGGAGATGCCTTCTCGGCGTTCTCGCTTTCTTCTACTAACCACTCAAGTGTTTGATTGAGCTTCAACTTTGAACACAAATTATCGTTATCTCCGTCACAGAGGTGCTCTCTGCTATTGCGCACAAAACACGATGTTTTAACAAATATGACGAGTGTTTTTGTGAATGTCATGCAAACTTCCCGTTCATTCATTGGAATCTCTTCAAATGTACACAACAGCTCAAGCTCTGCTCCGCTCACCAGATCTGGTAACGAGGTTCTGTCCGCTTTGTCGACTCTCTCAAGACATGACTGTACTCTCTTCTTCCAAGCATTTGTTGTCCTGACTTCTCCCCCGTTCACATCCATTGGAGCCGACCTGCATTGTTGGGCATCCGTTTGTCATTGACAAGAAGCCTGTGGGTGGGTGGGTAGGTTTGGCGTGTGCATGCGTCAGTGGGCGAATGTGTGTCTGCTTTGTAAAATCATCTAATATCAACACCAGAACCATCCCTTCGTCCACACAGATTAAAAAAAGTGCAAGCCTGGGTTTGTTTGTGTGGTTACACCACCAGTTCACCCAAGCCTATTAGTATTAACTTACCCCTCGGGCGGGCCTTCGCAGCCTGAAACATCACTCATACCGGGTCACCCCAGCTTTGATTGAACTATGCATATTCAGTTATTCAGTTTGTCGCAAACATGTTTTCCATAGCCGAACCATTATTGCTTTTCTTTTCTTCCTGATGCGGAGTACCCTAAGCAGCCTCCCTGATCTTCTTTGGATTGTTTGTCACGGGAAATTAGAGTCAAAACCCACTAAAGTCAGGGTACGCGGAATTTTTGCACACCCCTGGGTGTACCCCCCTTGGGTCCGGCATGCCGAAGCGGTACATTCTTTCCACGTTTACCGGTAAGAGGCCAACTCAGCTTCAAGTGAACTGGTGGTTAAGTGCCAAGAGCACCAACCCATTGTGTGTGTGTTGCCATGTTCGCTATTCGCAACTCCAGAACATGACTGTGCGTGTGCGAGTGCGAGTGGGTGTTTGTGCGAGAGGGCGTGTGCGGGTGAGAAGATGTGTGTGTGTGTGTATGTGCACGTGCCCACACGTATGTGAGTCTCTGTGTGCGTGCGGTCATGTCTGAGTGCGTGCCTATACGAGTGTGCATTTCATACTCGCTAGGCATAACTCTGCAAAGAAGAGAGGGTTGGTTGACTGTGATCATCAGACTTTCATATCAGAGGGTCACCAACTCATCAAGAGCCTGAGATCATCAGAACTAGAGATCGGGATCCTGTCACACTCCTGAGTGAGTGAGTAGGCTACAAATATGGCGTCTTTATAAAGGGTCGGGGGGGTTCCTGTCACACTCCTGACTGGAAAGCATAGGCTACAAATATGGGCTCTTATTCAAGGGCCGGGGTCCTGTCACACCCCTGACTGAGTAGAAATCGCCGAGTAGTAGGAATCGTCCACCAAATCTGTGTAAAACTTGCTAAAAGTAAAAAGTGCACCTGTGTATCTGCGTGTTGAGTGTTCTTTTGGGCTAAAAAAAATACTTCAACACAGGGGACAAAACAAAACAAGAGTTACAAAAGAAAACACACAGAAAAAAAAAAAAAAAAAAAAAAGCACAAATGCCATGACCGTCGCAGACAGTTTTGACAGACCCTCATCAACCAATCAGGAGGTTTAAATTTCATCACCCTCTCCAGAATGCATTTGGAACCTCGATGTCTTCAGAGAAGTTCAGACTCACTACCTCTCCCACAGATACCAACACACTTGAGAGAAATGGTTGGCTAATTTAGCATCTTTTTTTGGGGGGGGAAGGGGGGGGAGGGGGGGACTAACTTAGAATCCACTTACACCCTTGTACGTTTTCCACTGAAAATGGGGCCCTTAATTGTACACAAGTAATCCAGATTCCAGAACAGCCCCAGTGTGACTATGCCCACCAATTGTCTGTGTTTGTGTAGGTGAGCTGGCACAACCGCTAAACACAAGTCTGCAGAAAAAAACATGACTGTGAGACGCAGTTTCATCAGACTCTCGACAACTCCACAGCCTGTGCGGGAGAAAGTCGTGTGCACGCGGTCCCCAACGACACGAGCTTGTTACCAACACCGCAACAGATCGATTGATTCAATTCGGAACATCATAACTAACAGGAAGGAAAGAACACAAAAGACACGCAAAAACGGAGAAACGAGGACGCGAAAAACTAAATCATGAAAAAGAAGCAGGGAAGACAGGAAAGGGGGGCATAGCCGAGAAGAGAAGAGAGAATGATACTGGTGACTGTGAGGCCCGCTTGTGGGGATTGAGCAGAGGAGGAGACCACATCCAACCAGCCCATAAGCCACCCCTGCAACAAGTTAGGAAAAGCTTTCGAAGACTGGGACGAGAGCACATCAATTAGTAAACTGTCGAAAAACACACTAAGGAAGACTCATGGTCTAGAGAACACCAAACGCTGTTGCGTTGTCTTTGTCATTTCATTAGCAAACGGCATCCGCATTTCTATTCTATCGATTTCTATAAATAACACACACCATAGTAAACCAGAGGGTCTTTGCTCTGGCGGGATAAGCATATAGATGGCGGGCCCAGACCAAACAGAGATGGACATATCTGACAGCCAGGGGGGTCACTTTATCTCTCAACCAGCTCCAAGCCTCCATCCAATCATGTGGCAGTACCAACAGATTAAGGCATCCAACTTTCAAAGATAAGGCTTAGCAACGTGCACTGGATGAAAAGGTGTATTGGCATGTGTTTAATCAGGAGGCTGTTATGCACAGACGCACACGGCCGAGCTTCGTCTGCAGGGACAGAGGGATCAGGAGATCGCTTGACAGATCAATCGGCTCGGCTAGGTAAAAAAGAGGGTCAATGGGATCAAGAGCAAAAAAGCTGGCCAAAGAGGAGGAATAAAGCTAAGAAAGCATTGAGCTTGTCGTGTCCAGGTTGTGCACAAAGTAGAGAAAGGCGCAGACGCTGGTGAGTCAGAGGGGCAAAAGGGCATAGAAGATTATGCGTCTGAAGGAGGACAACGAGAACGAAAGGGGGGGCCGGTGGGAGGAGAAGAGCGACAAAGAGGATATAAATGCTAACAGTTGGTACACCCATGAGCTGTTGAAATGCAGAACTGAGCTCGAATCCAGACGGCACCAGATGAACGGAACTCCTGAATTACCTACGGCCGGTCAGTTTCACGATATCTCAAGGCTGTCTCCCTTTTCAAAAGAAAAAAGAAGGCGGGGGGGGAGGAGGGGGGAAGTGGACAGGGGTCAAATACAGGAGAAACAGAAGAGAAAAGGATCCGCTGCTTGAGCCAACCCAATACCAGAGGGAGTCTATCTGCCAAGGGAGAGATGGCCTTGCATGTCTGAAGTGCGAGCCTCGCCGCATATTGCCCATGAGGGAAAAGCACCCGCCAGAATTCCCAAGACATCCATCGGCAAACATCACAGCTGCATTCTCCAACATGACAAATCTCCAGCAAAGTATATGCCTACCACCACTCGCAATCCATCAAGATTTGGAATGCATCTTGACAATGGCCATGTCCAAATGCATTAAAAAAGTTCGTGGATGGCGAGTGGTGCAACTAGACCCTGTGAACCGTCCCGCCAAGCAACTCGTACGAGCCCAAAAGCCTCCGAGTGGACGACGAACATAAACAGAATGCCACATTCCTCTCTTGAACGAAGAAAAGATACAACTGCCCAAGTCTTGGTAACGACTTTATCCTACTCTATTCTATCGACAATATCCACAATATCCACAACTGAAGGCAGTCATCATGACAACAGCCAAGCACACTATCTTGCAGCCCAAGGAAGAAGTGGGCACATGTTTTCAGAAACGAAAACAAGGCCCACAAAAAGAGAGTATCCTCCCAAGGGAGAAGTGGAAGCATGTTTCGAACAACAGTTTCGTATAAATGTGTCCAGAATACTATATATGGGTTTGCGATCAGCCACTGATAATTTACTGAAATGCTGCTGCATATTGCTGCTGTGTACCCTACAGATAGGGCTGCGGTTTTCCTACGACGATTGTTAGGCCTATGCTACAACCGTCAAGTACCAGTTGTTCTTTCTTTCCTTGAAAATCTCTCTCTCTCTCTCTCTCTCTCTCTCTCTCTCTCTCTCTCTCTCTCTCTCTCTCTCTCTCTCTCTCTCTCTCTCTCTCTCTCGTGATTCCTGTGTTATTTCTTAATTTCTTCTCTTTTCTGTGCATCTGTTGGCTACCATACCTGAATTTCTTATTCTTTTCTGAATGATATATACCCGAACCTTCTGTGGACACACACACACACACACACACACACACACACACACACACACACACACACACACA